TGAGCACGATTAAATACGTTTTAACACAATTAGGTATGTTAAGCGAGGTAATTAATTAAAAGAGCACTACGCAAAACGTATGCTGTTCATCGCGATACCTTTCCGTTTGTTTTGTTATACGACGCTTCTATTCCATTACGCTATAAGACACACTTCGTCGAAGCTAATATTATTTAATTAATCAAGTAAGCCGAATAAAAAATTTTTATTACTTAATTAATCAAGTAATCGGAAAAAATTTAAAAGTAAAAATATTTTATTCCGATTACTTGATTAATCAGGTAATTAAAGAATTTTTATTCCGCTTACTTGATTAATTAAATAATATTAGCTTCGACGAAGTGTGTCTTGTAGCGTAATTGAATAGAAGCGTCGTATAACAAAACAAACGGAAAGGTATCGCGATGAACAGCATACGTTTTGCGTAGTGCTCTTTTAATTAATTACCTCGCTTAACATACCTAATTGTGTTAAAACGTATTTAATCGTGCTCAATAATGTGATTTATAACGATAAGAATTGTAAAGAAACGATAAGATTAAGAAATGATAAGGGAAACTTCAAAACTAAAATGACATTCTTGGATAGTGTAGGCCCGATACGGCGAAACACAGGACATGTCAGGCGGCGAAGCGCTATCCTTCTCCTCCCTATGCGCGCCGTTCTGAGTGGCTCGCTTACCAGGCCATCCCCGCTCCTCGCGGCCCGCCGCTCGACCGGCGTGTCATGGTGGGGACGGTAGGCCGTCCTGCCGGCAGCAGTACATGATCAGTAGGTTGGTCGGATGCTCGTATTCGCCTATCTTCAAACGTTAATATCTCGTTAAATATTGCGTCAACTGCAAAATGGTACAAAACTGTTTTGTTTCCCTTGACCCAATCTATGTCCGCACTGTGTTTCAGTAACATTTTCTGAGACACCCTGTATATTTTATTTCTTTCCTTCTAAATATTCTAGTAAATTCTATCGTAAATGATATTCAAAATAACGTTAAGTATATTTCTGACAATTTCTCTGTGTCCTTTTGTTTGTTTATGCCTAATGTCTGTTTTTTGATGTTAATCATTTCCGATGTGAGTCTCTTATAGAAAAAGGACTCTGTGTCGAGAATTTCTACCATTTTGATCACAAGTTAAGCTTGTGATCAAAATCCCTCTGGTGCTGCGCTACTACACACTGAGAATTTCCCCCAATCCCTGTACTCTTCTTATGTTCTTTTATTCTAGTTTTTAGCTTCCTCTTTGTTTGCCCCACATATGAGGCCTCACAACTGCCACAATGCATTTTATATACTACATGACTGACATCCATTTTATCGATCTTATCCTTTCCAGTTTTTATTATTGAATTTAGCTTATTCATAGGTTTGTACGCTATCCTAAACCCGTATTTTTCCGCTAAACATTTAAAACTTTCCGACGTATTTTTTATGTATGGAATAGTAAAAAAAGTCTTATCTGAATTCTGATCATTAATCTGACATTCGTTTTCGTACACATCTTTCCGTTGTGATAACCCTTTAATTCTTTTATTGATGATACTAAAAATCAAATCTAATGGATATCCGTTCTGCAATAATGTGTCAATCAGTTTTTTGATGTTATTACAATAATATTCCGTGTGTGAGAGAAAAACAATTCTATCTAATAATCCAATAATCACACCCCTTTTATGAACCACCGGATGATTGGAATCAAAATTGAGATAACGTCCCGAGTCAGTCGGTTTTTTATAATTGTCGAACTTGATCTGCATATTTTCTACTCTCAACGTAACATCCAGAAAACTCACAGCACCATTGTCATTCCGCTAACAAGTAAATTTAACCCTGTCATTATATAAATTGAACATATTTAATGTTTCATTAATTTTGTCGTGTGGAATAGCCAAAATGATATCATCTACGTATCTGTAATATATTGGAATCTCTATATTTAATTTCCGTAACACATTGATTTCTAGATCTTGTATTACTATATCGGCTAGAATGGGTGATAAAGGAGAGCCCGTCGGCATGCCAAAGATTTGTTTGTAGTATGTATTATCGAATTTGAAATAGGTAGAATTGAAAATTAAAGATATGGCATTCAAGAATTCATTCTTCGGGATCTTAGTATTATTTTCTATGAATTCCCATCTTGCATTAATACTATCAACTACCAGATTCTCTGAGATGTTAGTATACATAGATTCGATATTAAAAGATACCATCCTATAATTCTCCTCAAGTTGAAAACCATGCAGTTTTTTCATCAACTCTAAGCTGTTTTTTATGTGACTTAATCCTTTCTTTACACTTTTGTCAATAATATTCTTTAAAAGTAATGCCAAGCTATATAACGGGCTATTAATGCAACTAATTATCAATCTTAAGGGAAATCCCTCCTTATGTGTCTTTGGCAACCCATAAGCTCTTGGAACGCACCTATTCGTTATGTTTAGATTTTTGTAAACCGATTGATCAATGTATTCCTTCCACCTAGTCAAGATTAGCTTGGCATTATTTTTAAAGAATATTACTGACAAAAGTGTAAAGAAAGGATTAAGTCACATAAAAAACAGCTTAGAGTTGGTGAAAAACCTGCATGGTTTTCAACTTGAGGAGAATTATAGGATGGTATCTTTTAATATCGAATCTATGTATACTAACATCTCAGAGAATCTGGTAGTTGATAGTATTAATGCAAGATGGGAATTCATAGAAAATAATACTAAGATCCCGAAGAATGAATTCTTGAATGCCATATCTTTAATTTTCAATTCTACCTATTTCAAATTCGATAATACATACTACAAACAAATCTTTGGCATGCTGATGGGCTCTCCTTTATTACCCATTCTAGCCGATATAGTAATACAGGATCTAGAAATCAATGTGTTACGGAAATTAAATATAGGGATTCCAATATATTACAGATACGTAGATGATATCATTGGCTATTCCACACGACAAAATTAATGAAACATTAAATATGTTCAATTTATATAATGACAGGGTTAAATTTACTTGTTCGCGGAATGACAATGGTGCTGTGAGTTTTCTGGATGTTACGTTGAGAGTAGAAAATATGCAGATCAAGTTCGACAATTATAAAAAACCGACTGACTCGGGACGTTATCTCAATTTTGATTCCAATCATCCGGTGGTTCATAAAAGGGGTGTGATTATTGGATTATTAGATAGAATTGTTTTTCTCTCACACACGGAATATTATTGTAATAACATCAAAAAACTGATTGACACATTATTGCAGAACGGATATCCATTAGATTTGATTTTTAGTATCATCAATAAAAGAATTAAAGGGTTATCACAACGGAAAGATGTGTACGAAAACGAATGTCAGATTAATGATCAGAATTCAGATAAGACTTTTTTTACTATTCCATACATAAAAAATACGTCGGAAAGTTTTAAATGTTTAGCGGAAAAATACGGGTTTAGGATAGCGTACAAACCTATGAATAAGCTAAATTCAATAATAAAAACTGGAAAGGATAAGATCGATAAAATGGATGTCAGTCATGTAGTATATAAAATGCATT